GAGTGAGTGAGTGTGTGAGTGAGTGAGTGAGTGAGTGAGTGGGTGAGTGAGTTAAGACACGATGATATTACGGCAAGATATGAAATCACACAGAAAGTCTACAGTCCCTATTGAGAGGAAACTGGTGGAAGGCAATGTGGGAGACAATGTTTTTGAAGCAGTGGATGATGAATGATAGTCAGCGATCGATACTCCTAGATTCAGGTAACGGAGAATTTCGATTTGTTTAGAATAACTGGATGACAGGAAGCCGTAAACGAGGCGCACGTGTGACATTTTCTGCAAATTCCAGCCGCGAAATGTCAGTTTCGATTAGTGAACGATAGAATGTGTTTCATCATCGTTGTATCATGGTGGGGTGAGATACTGTCAGGGCGCCCACACCTAGACAGGAGGACGGTTAGGGTCCTCAACCAAATCCTTTGACTCAAAAGCCCAACCGCAGGGCAGCGGTGTTTGGCGGGAAATGCAAATGCATTACCATTTTTACGGAACAAGTCGCCACATGTTCCAAACCCCAACCTGGAGGGCCAAGAGACTGTGTTCGTCAGACCTTTAACCATTGACCAACCTGGTATGAGAAATTCTGTGAGCGTCACGCGGGCACTCCCTAGTATAGCTCAACGGGTAGGCGAGGTGCGCAAACCGTTACACCACAGTAACGTCCAGTCTCTTGGTAACAGAGTGGGTTCAGGAGAACAGAGCTCACCAAAAACCGGAACAAGCTTGACACTGCAGTTGTTGAACGGTATTATGACTGGATACTGCCGTGTTGAAGCAGCTGACTTCTTCTATGTCGCCCAGAATCACTAGACTGGTCAACTTGACTCCCAACGAAGAATTTGTGAAGCGTCGTATCGTCTGAAACGTCAGTCGAGGTGGATCTCAGACATTCGCAGGGCAAAATGGCCGTATTCGATAGTACGAAAAAATCCCCGGTACTGAGAAGTAGAGGAACGTACCCGTAATTTTCAAATCTGCCTTTTGATTGACTCAGTTACGTATGGTTGACCCCACTGTACTCGTTGGTTGTGATTTCTCATAGAAAACAGAGGGGCGGGGACGGTCCCAAAGTATGGGTGGTTACGCGATCTACACACAGCTGCATGGTCTATTTTGCAGGTGTGATACCCGATCGTTTTCCACGGAATATGAGCTTGGTGTTCGTAAACATTCCTACGACACTGAGACCGTCTGGAACTAAAATCTAGGTCAGGAGTGTGTGGTAGCTGCGCTCAGTGAAACCGTAGGTCGGTCAGAAAGTATTAAAAACCTTTCAGTGAGATAATATGAAGCCCCAGCTGATGTGCGGAGGGTTAAACTGTAAGTGATTTGTATTGAAACAGCCACTTTGTATGGGTAGGCGATATAGCAACATTGTAAAAGGTAGAGAGTGGTGCCCGATAGGTGCGGACTTAGTGGTTCTTCCCTGTCTCACCCGCTCACCTGCCCAAGGGTAGTGCTCCATAAAAACCGGTGATCCAGTCCCACAGACTCTAAAGAGAGTCCCCAGTGGAAACTGTGACAGTTACGGTCATTTATGACAAGAAAATATGCAGTGTGTGCAGTTCTGTACGCACAAAGGAGGTCTTTTAAAAATCATGCTGAGTATATCTAATTAGCGACTATGACCGTCAGCGGAACGATCCGAGACGCCTCGGCTACGTGACAAATCACATCTGTCCAGCCGCACCATCAACCAGACAGAGCAAGCATAAACACCGCCCTTAGATTCGTCGTTACATCATTCGGATACTGGTCAGTTTTTGCGAGGCTTCCGGACTGGAATACCAGTCATTCTACGATCATCTGGCCTAACTAGTCGGATGTGGAACGGGACAGAAAAGTTCTCTTTTCTTCTAGCGTCGGCATGAGTCCTCAGGAGCAAAGATGCCCTCCTTCGTACCAAATAAAGTGTTGACCGGCCTGGGCAGCTATTCCAGATCTTTTCCCCAATCCCTAGTTAGAACTGACGACATTCCAGAAAAACTAATTTAGTTTGTAATCAATCTGGAGATTTTGATGTTTTCATGGGGCCTTAGTTCCACAAACGAAGTTGCTGAAAAGCTGAGAACCATCGGGCAAGCGTTTTTTTTAAAATATTGTATAGAATCCTCAAAAGTACATGTCCTACAAAACCCATAGGAAGATTCCGTATGGCAATGCCATTCGATCAACTCCCGCTTACAAAGGATACGTCATCCATCTTCAGTCACACGGTTCAATTCACGTAACCCGGTGATGTTGACTTTGGCGAAATCTCACATAGGTCAACATAAATTCTGGAATTTTCTTCTTTTCTGAAGCGACAAATTGGAAGAAATCTTCCACGAAAGTGATTTTGGGAGTCCACTGTACACGGTCATCCAAAATTGTAAACCTTAATTAATACTGAAATCAACAAACATACTACTCTATTGTACAACCCGCAATAAAATTATCGGATTACTCACGGTTCTCTGTGGAACGATTTTTGCTTAGCAAACGATCAATACACTTGGGAACCAACTATGCAGCCATACTGTGTATTTAAGGAAGTTGATCAAGGTGATATACTTGTAGATAGTGAATTTCACTCTCGACTGAGCTGGTCGCCTGATGAAGAAAGCTCACTCCAATAAAATAACCACAAGGGATGTGGAACAAACCGGTCGGTTTTCAAAAGTTCGGGTCTATGTGAGGACGTGCGAACTCAGATACGAAGGCGGAATCACGAAGCGGCAATACTAAAGATGGCTGCGGAATTTCTTGGGAAGAAACACCAGGAGCATCGTCTTCATCATCATCATCAACATCATCTTGACAGCAACACCAGAGGAAAACACCGGTGCTTGTTATCACTTTGTATGGATAAAGCCTCATAGTGGAAAGAAAGCAAAAATGGAACAGAAAGAGGGCTAGCGTACCAAAAACATCCCAGGTGTCTACACCTTCAGTGCCCAGTCAGACAATCTGGATAGAAACGTGAACGACACCGATATCGGCAGCCTCATAGTGGAAAGAAAACAAAAATGGAACAGAAAGAGGGCTAGCGTACCGCAAACATCCCAGGTGTTTCGCTCTCGGTGAGGTGTCTACATCTTCAGTAGTCAGACAATCTAGATAGAAACGTGAACGACACCGATATCGGCTGGTCGCCATACCGTTCAGTCTTTCCAGCCAAGCATGGAGGCCGAACAGCACCAATGGCATCCAAGCTTCCCCCAAAAACGCTTCATCCGGTTCTACCCCGTAGGCAGACACGAACTTTTCCTGTTACTGGGAGGTATGCCGTTACAGGGAGGTGAGAACTAACGGCCTCGAACAACCTCCTCTAGTCGCTAGGAGAGATTAATCTCCAGAAGAAAAAAACATGATAGTAACAATAATCTGTAGCGACCACCGATGAAACCGGTCGCTAAGAGGGATTTTGGTTCCTTAGGTAGTCCCAGTCGTTCTGTTAAGAACACAATCAGGCTCGTTTTCATTTTTTTCTACCGAACAGGAATGATACATATTATAGCGCGGGAGAAAAGTTTTCCAAACCTTCACTACAAAAAGGTGAGCGTTTTTAACAAGAACTGGGCGATGTTCACAAAAACCGTCCGCTGTAGATTAGTGGTCTCTATAGATGGGTGGTCCGTGGTTGATTATCGGGTTATTTGGTTGCCATGACTGCTGTTGCAGCTCTGATTGCTACTCACCTCTCCACCCGCTGTGACATCGTAATATCCCCTTGATTCATGCGGGTTCTACCACGAAACTCTAAACGTTGGACGATCTTCCGATATGACTTAGATGGGTGGTCCGTTGGTTGATTACGGGTTATTTAGTTACCATGGCTGCTATTGCAGCTCTGATTGCTACTCACCTCTCCACCCGCTGTGACATCGTAATATCCCCTTGATTCATGCGGGTTCTACCACGAAACTCTAAACGTTGGACGATCTTCCGATATGACTGCCATACGTCGAATTAAACGTTTTAAATTAGGACTTGAGAAACAACAGTTTTGCGCCTTTTAGTCGAAAATTAAATAAATTATTTCCAGGTGACAGTCTAAATTTTGTACATTGAACTCGTCCGGACTAATTGAGCTATTTGTGTTTCGACCAATGAACGGGCAGCTAAATCACGCGTTGCGTCACGTGCATCCGGAGGAGTCTCAACGAAATGGGCAAAAATCGAAACTGACAGCAGAAGCAGAGAGAGAGCACTTACCATATATGTATCGGAAGTATGATGCAACACCGGGGAATACGGTCCACCTTCGAATTCGGGTGGAGAGAACGAAGGGTCCCTGAAGGCACTACGGCGTGTGTGTACAATCGGTCGGAACTCTTCAGCCTCGTAGTCCTCATCTGAGACACGTGCGAGTGGTAGCCCATTGTCCCCATTCGTGTCATCAGATTGGGTTCGAGGAGGGAATGGATCATCACGGCGCGTCGGTGATAGTGACGCTCCGTTTATGTAGGCCGGTCGGCCAGTCTGTGTATGAATATGTGTGTATACATTTGAATGTTGGATAGAGCGGGTTTCCCTGGTTGTGAATCGGGAAACTCGTGTTGACCTGTCCAAATCTTCGTAACTAACACTTTGGAAATGTCGGCGTCTGGTGTGTGACGTGCTGTGTTCGTCCACCAACATAGTAAGGCGACAATTGGGATCAAGTAGAAACAACACAGGTAGCAATTGCAGTGGATCCTTTGGACCACGACGACGCTCACGACGAGAAGCTTCTCGTTTTAATCTATGCCTGATTCCAGCTCGCCTGCGGCTTTCACGTGGTTGATTTGTCGAGGCGCTCAAAGCGACACGTGTGTGAAGCTGTCGTCCTTGTAGATCACAGTTAGCCAATCGTAAACCAGACAGATCTGACAGTTCGTTGTTCGTGTGCGTGGGTGGTCCACGTTGCACTTTCGGTCCATGTCTAAAACGATCGCTGGGTGTGCCAAGAGAGGGTGGTAATAGCATTACTGTTGCGTGTGATAGGCGATCAATCGGTACAGACACCATGAAACACCAACTGAAGACGACTGATCCGGGTATGTCGGTTGCGGGCGCCGAATACCAATGGCCGGACACCCATCCATTCAAATGTACACCAGGTCCCAATTGTATCGGGGCTTCGTGAGGGCCCACAAGTGTATGCGTCCGTGATTCGGTCGGCAGACTGAGTTGAACTGGATTGTTTCGATCTGTCCACAATATTTTCCAATGACCAATGGCTTTGGGATGAACGGTCTCGATGAAAATTTTCTGCTGAGAACTTGGAGGGGTCAACAAAATTTCTTCAATCATAAGCCGCTCACCATAGCGTAACACCTGTAGTTCACTCAAAATTATTCCAACCGTTTTTAGCTGGGTACTAGTGGCGGGAACTCGGAGCCAGTAAGACACCGCACCATAGCTCTTATCGATCCACCACGAAGATCCTGGCAAACGTTGGACAACTGCCTCCAGGCTCGATATAACTGGGCCGAATGTGTCCGCTGAGTGCATTACCTGCGTAGAAGTAATACGCGAGATTATGGTCGCTTTACGCTGGCGTAAGCATAAAATAAGCGCGTCATGAGTCGGAACGGCAAAACAATAACGTACAAGCTTGGTAACCAGCTGACCACTCGATGACTCAGATGTAAACTATCCGCGTGTATACTGACTGTGCAACCCTTGGGCAGCACACCTGTTTTATGAATGTGCAGGTGTGTTCTTTCGTGCGCTAAAATTCGCACGCGAGTCGACTATCTGGATTTAGCGCGAACAAGAAATGAAACCAGTGACGAAACGGTGGTCTCCCATTTGGTCGCTTATAATCAAGGGTTCGGTGATTGGCTTCGTTGTGTTGCGCAGACTGAGCAGCGTTATCCGGCACACCTGCCGAGGCTGTCCGTTGTCGTACCTCATGCTGATTGGCTGGACGCATTACGACATGTCGTAATTGGCCAATCGGGTTTGACCTTCCCTAGCGCGTGGAACGAAGCCCGTCCAAGTCTGACAAATTTGCTGATCAAGTCATGGAGTTTCAAACGAACAAATACTGACTGAAGTGCATACAACCAACGTCGACAATGACCGGGTGTCTGGTAAGGAAGGGCTATAAAAACACGGACAAAAGAACAAGGAATACTCTTCAGTACACGTTTGAACTGGGCTGGGACGAGAATTGTCGGGTGGTCGTAAACAGTAAACATTCCGGAGGCGGTGTTGCATCGATCGGTAACAATTTTGTTGGGATATACGATTAGGACAAAGGCAAACGATCAAAATGCTAAAGGTCACTGCCATAGTAACCAACGTATGTGTACGTAAAACGGTGTGGAGTAAGGATTTGAGGGAAGATGCGAATGCTGCAACGGGTTCAGAAGAACGACAGAAGCTCCATTTTTAACGAACGCCAGAGTTGTTGAAGCTTATTGGCGAGATATGACAGGACATCGGAAAATGGCCCTAATGGTCACGTGGGGCGATTTCACTAATTTATCACCAGAGAAGTGGATGATAGTAAAATACAACTATCAAGATTTGGGAACAGTAGCTGTTATTGTTATCCTAGCCGTTACCGGAATAATGGTGAACGATTCTTTTGTGGCAAAAGCTCGAAGTTGAAAGCCCAGTCTCGGCTGACCAAATATGTTCTGTGAACGGACTTATCTGATGACTCATTTTGAAGGTCTTTGATAGACCATCTCAACTATCGGTACCTGTTTTGAAGACTTTTTCGGATGATCTGCAAATAAGGTTCCCGTCCCTAAACCAATAAGTGCCCACAAACTTCTCTCCCCTCCCAAAAAAAACAGTCAAATTATCCACAAGAGAAAACCTCTCCTGTTCAAATTATGGTAATGTTAACGAGAGACACAACTGAATCTCTCCGTTCTACTACTCTAAAGCTTAGCGTGTGGTACAAACGACACTCCATGTTTCCACTGGGATGATATTCAACTGATAGGGGTACTATTTTCCTTGTTGCGACACTACTTACCAGTAGTGTCATTTCAGTGAAAACATACGGAAATCTTGGCATGACGTGAATATCCGGCTGAACGAGAAGTAGCGCTACATACTTTCTATTGCCAACAATCATCTGTAGCCACGGTTAAAGCTCTCCCTGGATATCAGTGAGATTGGCTGTACTGGTGAGATGTAAAGCACTCACCAGGTGTAGGTTGACTTGAGTTGGTAAATGAAGCTCAAACTGAAAACCTAAAAACTCTCCGATATACGCAGACATCAAGCACTAAACACACGCGGGAGTAGAACAGATGATATGCTCTTGATGATGGTGGGGTTCTCCCAAAACCCCCCCCCCGATTCACTCTCAATATACTCTGCCCCGGTAGTATACTGCAATTCACCTGTAGGTGACAGTGCTTTAATGTTCTCCATTGTGGCAGAAAATTTTGTAAAGAGTGCGAGAAATGGTTAGATGCACTCAGCAAAGTTAAAACAAATGTGAGATCGAATACGGGGTTGCAGCAGCTGATGATATTTTCGCTTGTCCGATGAAGTTGAGTTGAGGTTGGCCCCGTCGACGCAGAGAGAAGTTTGACTGATCCGAGCATGGAATTATTGGGTGAGTAGGCGGCGACAAAGTGTGATTTAGTTGGTGAGACCATCCTGATTGGTACAAATGACAGCAACAGTCGCGGGTCACAATCTTTCATAATCAAAGTGGTTGGGGAAAACAAACCAACAAGAAAAAAGTCAAAACGTTTGTCTATATCCCTGAACGAATCTTTTGTTTTCGCCTCCACGGTACAGCGACTGTGACTTGCCGAACGGCCGCTCCAGGGAGGTTGGTCGCAATGATGGTAACCAGCCTGGAGGTAGGAGCCATTAATGTGGTAAACGACAAAGTTTGTTTGATTTCGTTTTAAAAATTGAGTTGTAAGGAACGTGGTACAGTTTTTCGAATGCTGCCACAAGCTACCAAGCCCTTTTGAGTTCACCAGTCGATCAATATCCTAATGTGGTAAACGATAAAGTTGTTTTGATTCTGTTTTAAAAAGTGAGTAGTAAGGAACGTGGTACAGTTTTTCGGATGCTGCCACAAGCTACCAGACCCTTTTGAGTTCACCAGTCGATCAATATCACAAAGAGTTGGGTTGTTCTGTAAGGGCACTACTGTTCAAATGGTGTTCTTCAATCGCTGGAACTGGCATCAACATGTGGGTTCTCTATCTGTCTGAAGAACTTAGTCACTGTGAGCATGACTTGCAAGCAAAATCGTCTGGGAGTTTACTGCCTTGTGTTCCAGGTTTGCTGGAACATCGATCGTTGGTTCAATTGATCTAATGTTTGAATACGTCGCTAATCTTTCTGTTGTTCCGTGTACTGCCGATAGTCGATGCGTGGTTAGAACATGTGAGGTGATACCGCAGGGCGCGTTTCAACCTGTTCGCGGCTTGTTAGTGAAATACTGCGCAGTCAGACATGACGAAACGAACCATTGAATGTGTGCGCGTGTTATCACAGTGTGATCTATGCTGCAGCGATACTCATCTCAGCACTGAACTGCTGCGTGAGACCTAGACACGTTTACGGAGGGCTGAGAAGATTAGATGAAATGCAGAGTTTTGCCGTTCATCTTGACATCTTCACCCTACACGGGATCGGTTCGTGGATAAAACCACATAAGATCCAATGGTAGATGAGGTAAGGTTGATAACCAGCCAACCGATCGCTTGAATTCTCGCAAGTACATAGTGCGTGGTCTCAAGCCTGTGGGACCATCAATTGGTCCGAGATACCATCGACGTTAACTTTGAGCCTTACAGTTTTGGTAAGAGGGTCTTGCTGCCAGTTCATCGCCTAATGTGCTTCCAAGTTTTTTTCCTAAACGACTGCGGCCTAAAGAGAAGAGGCTGAAACTGACGCGTTTCGATACGTTTCAGCAACTGGTTCGATGAAAGCAGAAGCTTTCAGCCAAATGACTCATTCAGTATTGGAGAAAATTCGTTTCTTTATTCAGGTTTATTGTCCCTCAAGGCTGAAGTTGTAAAGCATGACTGCACTAATGCCTAGTGCCGAAAAAAACGACTCGCCGACAAGGAACACAACAGCTTTACTGTGAACAAGCGGGTGAGTGCCAGGTACAACGTCCTCACAACGTATTTTTAAGCGCACTGTTTGACCTTGATCCAAGGCTGTCTGATGCTATATTCTCAAGGATACTGTCTGACCTCAATCCAAGGCTGTCTGATCGGCGTCTAGTGGAGTTTGAGGGTAATCTGAGATAGNCTGACACTAACCAGTTTACCCACTACTCATAAGTACTTTTCGCAATATTCAAAATACTTTGCTTGGTTCGGTAAAGTTTACCGGTGAGAGTGGGGTACACGTTGCGTAGTAAGTTGAGAACCACCGGTGACAGGTACCAATGTGTGACAGAACCAATGAGGTAGGTTGAGAAACCTCATTGGTTCACAAACTCTCGGTACACGATCTAGAGTACAAACGAATTGTTTCACTGTGGCTCATCTGAGTGTCGCTCCCGTCAAACACAAGATCAAACGGATTCAGAATTGATTTGAAAGGAGTTGAAGCCTATGCGTTTTTTCAAGTCCCCTGGCTGCGTAATTACCGGGAGTTTTAGTCTTGGTGCTGTGGTTCACACAAATGGGACAATTCAACGATTACTGGCGAATTCTAAGTAGCTCGGAATGAAGCCTCCCCGTAGGAGAAGTCACATTCGCGCAGCTAGACAGCACGTCACCACGTGATGTGAATTCTGTGATTGAACGATGAGTGGTGCTATATCCCGTCTAAGTGCGATCTAATCAATCAGCTGATCAGTCGTTCGTCACCGAAATGGTTGGGCTTTAGCTACTAATCTGGAGTTTGCGAGTTCGAGTCTTTCTGTAAGTTTGTGAGATGGGCACTGCTGATGATGGCTGAAAAAGCCGTACAGTTCTTTTCGGATTGGCTTCAGTCACACGACGAAATATCCATCCATTCTCATCTAGTACATTTCATGGTCCAGTAGAATAATGGGTGTGGACTAGATCATTTTTTCTCCTAACCGCGGTTATCAATGAGTGATATCCCAGCAACAGGAGGCTCGCTGAGTAACCACAGCTACAGTGGTGCGGAAACTATGTTGATCAGGCAATGCAATAACTCCTGCCCTAGTAACGAGGAGAGAGCAGGAGAGGACCTTGGGCTGGAAAGTTTATTGGGAATTTCGCGTAGTTGGAGGAAACATCACAACCACGAAGGCGTTTGTCACCGACCCAAACAGACTCGTTAGAAAAGTTCGATGCGACTGCACTTGTCACAACTTTTGTAGGCTCCTGGTAACTCAACCGCGATGAGTTTCATCATCATCATCATCATTGTCAGCTGTAATAACCGCGTACTCGTCGTACTGTGGTTGTAGCTGCCGCAGTTTCGTTCACCGATGGTTTGGGGGGGAGGGGTAGGTAGCTGCGCGTTGCAGGCGGGAGCTGATAAATTGGTGCATAAATCCAGCACTGTCAGTGGGCTGTCAAGTGGTGAGGGGGTTGGAAAAGGAGCTATGCGATGAGTTTGCTGCATGAAACACCGATATAAGTGCATGCGCACTGGCTTTAGTCCTGGACGGTATACCTTGGTACATCTTGTTCGTTGAGCAGTGCTAGGACAAGACAGAGGCTTGATTTCCCAGAGAATTCACCTTTTAAAGCCTACCAGACCGTTGTCAACACCGCAATACTTTCGAAGAGAAATATGAGCGACTGTTCGGTGTCTCCTAAGAGACAAGCTTTCTCCAACGGAGGGGCGAGTTCGAATCAAATCCTGGCTGTCTGAGGAAGCTTCTGTTATCTCTCTGGAATAACGTACTTCTCTGGTTCCCATACGTATTCATATATTTTTATGACCAGTATCGGGGGCGAGATGGTCCAAGTGGTCAGAGCGCGAATTCACTGACTGGAAGGTCCGTGGTTCGAATCCTACCTACCCCTCTCGAGCTTGGGCAGCCTGGCAGTATCCAAGCCCTCGCGCAGCCTTCGGGTGGCATGGCAGCTAGGCACCGAAAGGGCGCTGAACGTTTCTGGAACCATGACCAGTATCAGCCTATGCATATGTTGAATTGGACCATTGTTCGGCATAGAACGTGGAACGTACAGTTTTCGACAGCTGTTGGGTCCCACCGCTCATGAAAAATTACCATGTCTGTCTGTTCTGGTCGGAAAAAAACACCCTCCTGTGCATGAATGCGTGCACACAACAAGTCTGACCGTGGCTGAGTATAATCGACCGGGCATGTCGGGGTTTGCCACTAGTGCACGTGACCTCCTGCCGACAGACAGACTAGTCCAAACTGCGCTTTCAGAAGCATCACGTGCTTTTCCACGCGATTCGCGAGGATTTTCCACGTGCCTAGCTCCAACCACGTGACTTGATATAGTGGATAGACTTGTCAGAACTCCACTTCTAGCAGTATAATGATTCTCACTTTTTGTGTATCCCCGAGGATTCACAAAATGTCCAAGGCTTAAGATGTCTTTAGACGCTTAGTTCTCTTCATATGCAGATTCGCCCCAAACATTTCTATGATGAACACGACTGATACTCTGTTCGTTGCTCTATTCCTTATTCTCTTGTTTTAATATTCCATATGCTGTACATATTCGCCCATTCGAATTCATGCGTGCTGGTTGTTACGCTTCGCTGAATTCTAGATTTCTAGTTCGTCTGGTTATACCGACATACGTACGAAACTTAATTCTGGCATTTTCCGTTCGATTTAACGATTGGTAGGGTGTCAGTTGCCAATCGGTTCGATCAATAATCCTGGACATCGTCATTTGCAGTCGAATCAGCCCGACTGGTGTACCAATTGAAAAAAAAACGAGGGTAGGCCGAAATGTGATTTGGACCTGAGCGATAATCCAATCAGCACTGGAATGCTGACATTTTAACCAGCACGTACGGGTCGTTCTGGTGAAGAATAGTCACCAGAGGGCAAGTATTGGTCACACACTAGCAGTCGCCTATTGAGCCAGTCATGTCAATCGATCGGTTAGTTAATCAGTCTTCTCGTCACATTCGATACATTACTAATCGGGCAGCACAACTCAGGGATGGCAGTTCGCCGCAATCCACCGAAAAAGCCTCCAACCAATAAGGTGCACCCGTCAGACGGAGGGAACATAAAGGGAGATTGGTGCTAGTTATTCAACTGTTTGCTGGATGAAGAACTGGCCATTAAATGATGTTATGGAATAGCCACGTTCCGCTGGCTTAGCCACGTTCTACGTATGCCGGTCGACCGACTTCCTCGAAGGGTTCTTTTTGCAGAACCATGCGAACGGTGGGAATGAACCAAGGAAGGTCACACACTGGATCTTTTCCAGATAAGCGCTACCAAAAAATTAACTCCCGCCACCCAAAAAGATTAGGAAAAAAGAGGACATGAACTTTGTACTTTTAGTTTTTATTGAAGAGGGTGGGTGAAATTGGGCCATGTCATTAATAATTTGCATGAAAAGGTCCGTTTTTCGGTAACTTTGCCCCCGAACGAGCTGCAGTAGCTGTCAACTAAAGATCGGTGTGTGCCGCATTGGCGTTTTTTCTGCATCTTGTAGACGTGCCAAAGAGATTCGATGGTTCGTGTGTGAGCTCCAGTCGTTGAATCCACGAAGTTTTCGGTATGATTAACCGTTGCAGTCTGCAAAAGCCGCCGCCAGGCGTAAACTTCGCGAAGAAAGTTCTTCCAGTCAACAGCGGTCCTATGGCTAATAAATAATTCCTCTGAGCAGAAGTTGTTTTTGCCAAATTTTTGGACCAGCAACAAATAAACAGAATTCCTGTCCTAAACTCCATCCTAGACCGCTCCAGCCAAGTTCCCTTTCGAGGACCGACTTCTTTGCGACACTGTCGGGCAGAAACAGTCAGAAGCAGTTGGAAGTGTCATTTGGTGACCATTGTTGCATAAACGTTGCTGATGGATCACTCCGTGGCTTTCCAAAAAAAGTATTGCCGTCTCCTTGTCATGAACGATAGTTGAAGGCGTCAGAAAGTTTATTTAAGGTTTTACGTTCGAACGGAGAAACTTTCTGCACGAACTGAGCCTATATGCGGCTAAGGAATTGTGTTTTCATCAACAATAGGTCAACGTTGTGAAATTGTCGGGGCTTATCTGGAAAAGATTCAACACAATGGCCTGGAAGCGAAGTGTGAAAGCATTACCAGCAAGCTCAGCTGCGCTGGTCATTGCTATCTTCCTGGGCGGGGACCCCGCACCCACTTAAAAGTCCACTGACAAACCTATACTTACTCATCAGTTTATCAGTTCCCGCCTCCAATGCGCAGCTACCCACCCCACCTCCCCAAATCATCATCGTGACAGCTACATCCACTGTACGACCTTCACGCGGTTCTTACATCTGGCAATGATGATGGTGACAGAGTTGTTTCAGATAGTACATTGTGGAATCAGAACTTGTCCGCAAGGTCGACAACCCGGTCAAAAAATGGTCCATAAAGCACAAGGCTCTACAAAGTACTTTAAGCTCCATCACATGGAGGGGGAAATCCATAGTAAACCGGCCACTTTTTGTCCAACACGCTTTTACCATGCCCTTCGAAACAGGACTGTCGATCAGGTAGCTGTTAGTCTGCTCATGGAGCTTGGCAAATGGCCTATCTTAGCAAGCCAATCGCCAAGCCTGGTGAGCAGATCAACTGTCACGTGATCAACAGCCAATAAACACAACCCAGCTACAAATATTTAGGCATATTGTCAAGATGCATTGTTGATCCCTGTTCGTACGATAATGTTGTAACTAACTTCTGTTCCCGCTCCAGTGCCTTAGTGTCGGAAAAAGTCGAACGAACTAAACAGATTTATTACGAACAAGCGAGTACGAAAATCACAAGGGGTATCTAGGTATCCAAAAATACACTTTTGACCTTGAATCCAGACTAGCAGATCTGCATTGGGTGAACAGTGATCATCGTCGGCCGTGGCTGAACTGATTGACTGCTTGAGTGTGCAACCAGCAGCTAGCCTTTCTGGCCTGGATGCCTGATGGTTTCCCTACTGCGATTTTGGTGGAGTTTGAGGGTCACCGTAGGTGCCGGCATTCCTGACCGTTGGTCTACCTATCTTTTCAATACAGAACCAATAAATAG